GCAGATGCGAGCAAGATGCAAGATACTTGACACGGGGACGAAAGTACGGAGAATTGAAAGAAGAGTGAAACAGTCAGGCTGCCAGGCACTGGATATTTCGACGCGTAATGCCAAGCCGCGAGATGAGTGCGAATATAGGAAGCCGACCTACGCTCGTGCTCGCACACACCATGCGCGTCTCACTGAAGAGACAGGGAACCGGGCACCTCGACCCAGCTCAATTGGGCTCAGCAGCCTCGAGCGGACGTCACCCGCTCAATTGAAGTTAGCATCCAAGCTGAGGACCAGGCACCGAGCGCGGAGAGACGGACTCCCCGGATGCACACGACGCACGACGAGATGAATGGCGGACAGCATCACACGCGCCCAAAGAAGAATACAACAAAGACCAACGAGCACAAGCACGCCGGCAGGGACAGAAGCGTTGTGGCGCAGAACGCGGGGACGACAAATGGTCAAGAATGATATGCGTCTGCTGGCGCTGGTGCACGGCGCATAGAAGACCCACGGCTGGTCGCCTCGAGCTATTTCAAGCGCCGCGACAGAAGCGACGCGGTGCTCGCAGCTCCGGCTGGCAGCGTAGTGCAGCTGGCCGGTAACGCGAGCATCTAGAGCGCGGTCGACCCAGCGCTTCCGCGGCGCAAACGCTCTGCCCCAGCCGCCACTTAGTCGCGCGAGATCCTCGTGCTCGTCGTGGGAATGTCGCATCTGCCGGGAGATCTCTGCCGCTGCGGACCCGGGGACGAGGACAAATCCGACGCATCGAGGGTACGCGGAGAGGGCAGGCGGAAGAGTCACCCCTGCAGAATTCAGGCGGCGAGAGCCAGCGGCGCCGGGAAGGAGGGGCGAAAAAGAGGGAGAACGAGACTCACCGCGAGACGAGTGGATTCGGGGCAACTTCTTCTGCACAGCATTAGCACTCGGCAGCGCGCGCTACTTGCCCGCCCGGCGCCCGGCGTCGGCCGCAAGGGCCTGCGCGAGCTCGTGCTCGTCGGCCTCGTCGTCGTCGTCGTCGTCGTCGTCGGTTTCGTCGAGAGCAGGGTGGCCGAGACCCTCGAGCGTGCGGATGACCTTGGGGGTGATGGCCTTGACACCCGCGTCGCGGGACAGCGAGGCGGATGTGCGGCGACGGGGCGCGGGTGGCAGCGGCGGAGGGGACTGGCCAAGGACTGGCTCGACTACAGCATGGGTGATGAATCATGAATGGAGCAAAGTCGCGAACACGTGCAGAGGGTGTAAGCCACAAATGTAAGCAGCGAGGTGTTAAGATCGGAATGATCGCTCACCTCTTGATCCATGTTCTCTTTCCCCGGAGGCGATGGCGACACAAAAGCGCAGTTCCGCGATGGGAAGCCGATCTCGTCTCTTCTCGAGCCGTTACACGGACTGCTTTGTCTCAGGTACCCAGCGCCTGCCTTGGAATCTACGCGGTTGCGGTAGTGGATGCAAGGTGGATGTGGAAGGACTGGACCGACTGGTTGTGGCCCATCAGGTTGCACACAAATATCAGTTCATCCTAAGGCATAAAACCGTCCGTATTACGCGTACGGGCGCAACCATTACGCCACGGCCAGAGCCGTCCGTCAAGCCAATGCTCGGAGGGCCCAACGGGACGGGTCACGTCTGTACTATCCGTTTACGGCGTATTTACGGCCATTCTGGGGGCCACCATAGAACAGACTACAATAAGTTTTTTGTACTAGTCGAGATAGCATGCATTACTCCTTTTCTTCTCCCGCCAGGTCAATAATTGTTTTGCGAGTCACCTTTAGCCTGGCCTTGACAAACATGTGTCTGAATATTTGACCCAGTAAAAAGCTACGGATTCTGGGCGAGAGGGCGAGAGTGTTCCACGCGCCATCGAGAGGTTGAACATCTGTACTGAAGGGAGGGCAACGATGGACTTACACGGTAGAAGTTTTCTGCGAGGTCCCTCCTCGTATTTTGGCCGCAGGCATTTTCATTAATGATCGGAATGCCTTGGAAATATTCAGCTAAAAGAGACAGAGCTTAAATGCCTTTCATAGCCTCATCTAGGATCATTTCGGGGCGCCGAAGGAGCACCCGACGCCATGAATAGTGGTGCACAAGCAGGGAAGAGCCACAATTTCAAAGATGGTTGGCGTACCCCAAGCAGTGCAAACCCAAAATTTGGAGCGCAAAAAAAATCGGTGAGGCTCCAGCGGACATCTAGACCTAGCTGAAGATGAACTAAACAATCCCGATGGATACTGACACTTGCTCAAGGAATAGAGAGAGCAAGAGGAGAGGAGAGAGTGAATTGTCGGCCAAAGCGCTGTTGTCAGAGTATGTACAGCATCCCCGATGGAGGTAGCATGAGAAAATGCAAGGTGGAATCCCCGGTGAATTTCTTGGCACCACTGCACAGTGCACACCCCATTTAGCAGCAATTTCCGATTGTCGCCACCCCGTTTACGCGTAAACGGAGGTCTCGCCAGACCGGAGCGAGGTGCCCGGAAATTTTGACCGTGATTGGCATCATAGCTGTTGGGATTCACAGCCTTTGAGCCGCTAGGGGATGGGAAAATGCGCGAAAAATGCGCGAAACGCGAGCACCTGGATCGCAAAGCCAGATCACATGACGAACGGTCCGGAGAATGACTAACTTCATGAAGACTGTTCTGAACAGATATAAATATGAGACAAGGTCAACCATTTCCACCATTCTCCGATGCTTCTTCAAGATTCTTTCAAGTTCCTTCTTCTCACCCTCTCTCTCCTTCCCAGCACGCTGGGAAGCAGTGGGCCAATTGTCAACACATCCTCTGGCTCCTATATGGGAGTCCACGACGCGCAGAACAACGTCGATGTAGTCAAAGGCATCCGCTATGCATCCCCGCCGAAGCGGTTCACGCCCGCTGCACCCATTGCAACGGCGCCCGAGGGTTTGCAGTCCGCTGTTGCATTTGGCGCGGACTGTCCGCAGCCGACTCCGCTCCTAGAGACCGGCGGTGTCGCAATTGGCCCCCCGCTCCAAGGGGCGAACCAAAGCGAGGACTGTCTTTTTCTCAACGTCAGTATCATTCGAGTCTTGGAATGCTCCTTTGCTTAGTGTCACTTTTGCAGATCTGGCGGCCTGCATTGACCTCGAATGAGACGAAACTACCCATTCAAGTTTACCTTCATGTCTGTATCAGTTTACTATTGGCATTCGCTCCCTTCTTATCATTCTATCAGGGCGGTGGGTACTTCGAGGGGTCAGGCTCCGAATGGAACGCCACCGGTTTGGTCCGTCGTAGTATTGCGACAGATAAGCCAATCATCTTTATAACATTCAACTATCGCCTGGGAGTTCTTGGATTCGTGAGCACCCAGTTTCAGTTCCTCGGACAGTAACCCTTAGATATATTATGCAGATTGGCAGCGCCTACGCTCCCAATTCAGCTTTGAACGTTGGACTCCAGGATCAACGTGACGCCTTTAGATGGATCCAAGATAATGCCGCGAATTTTGGAGGCGATGCTTCGCGCGTCACCATCTCGGGTGAATCTGCCGGTATGTTCGTTCATGATCTTCCTCTTTATAAATGTTCACTTGTTTTGATATATAGGCGCAGGTGGTGTTCACATGCATTACCTCTTCCCCGACTCCAGGAAGACATTCCGCGCTGGGATATCCAGCTCCGGTACTTCGCAAGTCCTCGCCACTGTACCGTGCGAGTGGCATGATCGCCCAGGCGGTGGCTACACCATTTTGAGTAATATTACAGGCTGTGGTTCCGGTGCAGCATCGTTCGGGTGTCTGCAGGATCTTCCGTTCGATGTACGTTGAGCGAAGAATTTGCATCTGGGCAGCAATTCTAAATTTAACTTTGTAGACGTTCTGGCCATTGGCATTGTCCACCTACCAGCCTCCCGTTGGCAATCAACCGCCATGGTCGATGACTTGCAAAGGCCCTCAGGGCTCCTTCATCGACGAATACCCCGCCAAGAAGGCCCTTGACGGCGACTTCCTGAATTTTCCCATCATCACTGGCACGAATCTTAATGAAGGCAACCTGTGAGCTCCTCAATTCATTTTTCTCCAACCACGTTCATTTACTCTTCAAGTCTGATTGGCGAATCATTACTTGATCTTTCCCCCCAGCCACCAATCGAAGAGGAAAATTCCATCTTGAGCGGCTTCATCGCCGGACAATCAATTAGGAATGTGTCTCAGGATACTATTACCCAACTTCTCGGTCTGTACGCCCACCCGGAGAGAGTATCGAATAGTACCCTCTACGACCGTGCTGCTGAGTTCTTCAACGATAATGGGTTCCTGGCTCCTCAGCGTCAATTCCTCAAGGTTGCATCGGCCGAGCAGCGGAACCAGGACGTGTGGGCATATTCCTTCCAGCAACGAATTCCCGGCTTCCCGGCCTTCCTCGGAGGCAAGTTCTTGTCCCAGCCTAACTCCTCGCTTCCCGCCGATGTTCATTCCTTTTTTTTTTTGACAATAGTATTCCATTCCAACGACCTCTACTACCTGGATATAGGCTCCAACCCGGTGCCCGCTCAGAAACTCGTGGCGCAGATGCAAGACTTCTACATCTCCTTTGTCAACGATCTCAATCCAGGAACCTTCTGGCCCAAGTATACCGAGGAGTCGAAAATCGTGATGCGCCTTCTTGATGGGGAGGTTGGGCCCATTGTGGACACGCTCAGGCGAAATCAAACGGACTTCCTCAGCCAGTTTGAGGTCATGGAGGAATTCGGACGATTTGGTTTATAAGAAGCTATTCGTCTTAACAACAACAATAGTAGTGCATGTCTTCTCTATCTCTTTCCTGCCTTCACTTCGTAATGATTAGTTGTTTCCTCACATCTTTATCTTCTTGAAGCCTTTGCGATCGAAGGTTTAGAGCTTTCGCAGGTATAGCAGCATCTGGTACTTATGTTCAGGGCCGTGTTTGGCCTTGTCTCATTCGGAAGGACTGTGCCGCTTGTATTTCACCTGCTTTCACGCCGACGGTCTAGGGCTAGGATGAAAGTGGGAGCCGTCCGATGGCACAAGGAGTGCATCTGCTAGAATTAAGAGTTATCGTATTTAGCTTCTACAGAAAGCTCCCCCGTTCGATTCGGGGTCGGGCGATATCAAACCAGCTGTGAAGCTTTCTGCTTTCTTTTTGTCTCTTCAAACTCAAGCACCCATCCTGTCTCTTACGTCCCACACCCTTCGCAACTGCGACTGTCGGTGCCTGGGAGCGCTATCTTTCAAAGCTTGCACTGATTTCGACTACGACAGATTCGACTTCACCTCCGGGGGTTCAACCTGACGGAATTCCTCTCGACTTGAAGAACTGCGCTCACGTAAATTCAACTGCAAGCCAGGGTCCAAAACCCGGTGGCACATGGTGTCCGTCTGCGCAGCATCATAAAGAATGGGGCCAGTGCTGGCAGAAGGCCCCCGTTCGACTCGGGGCCGGGTGATAACCGATAACTCAGGGCATGCATCTTTTTTAAAAAAATATTAATACGGATGCCCAAGTCCGTTCCTCTTGCTCCGCACGTCTCATGGCCCTCAGGAACTTAGGAACTCCAGTTTTGGTGTCACTGGTTGTGTTCTTGCGGCTGGAAAAAAGTTCCCCATGTTTCCAACTTCAACTCTCGAACATCCAGCTCAATCCCTCGCATAAATGCAAGTGCTACCAGGGTAAGAGACACCCGGTAGCACGTGGTGTGCGTCTGCCCAGCGTCAGCAATTTCTTCCTTCGGCAGGCAGAAGGCCCACCGTTCGATTCGGGGCCGGGTGATGAACCCTTCGTTCTATTCACATCCCTTCTTTCCGGACAGCATTGGGTGGAGCCCACCTCTCGCTTCAATTTTGGGTGAGTGCCAATGGTGAATGCCGATCTCTTTCGAAATTCACTTCAATTTAACTTCAACCTCATCCAGTCTCTCTCTTTTCTATATTGTGAATTGAGCTTCAAACGAAGGGAAAGGACATCCGGGAGGACATGGCGTGTATGTGCAGCAACCGGCCAATCGAAGCCTTTCCGCTCCAACCTTGTCAATCTGCGCCACTTCGATATATACACTTCGTAAGATAACCATCATGATCGAGCAGCAGATCATCAGTTTGATGCTCTGAACATAGCTTACTGATTTTTCCATCATCTACACCAATTTTTACTTTCTCAGGGCCTGAACAGCCTCTCCGAGAGCCAGAACACGAAGCAAATCCTTTCCATTTGTTTAAAAATAATGTATACGTTCAAGACTTCATCGCTATCGAGACGATGTTGGCTGCCGGTACTACGCGCCAAGTCCCTGGGAGTCTCCTAAGATCCACCATATTCGATTGTTGTCGTCAAAGCAGGTAATAGTATGGTGAGATGCGATCAAACCGTGAGAAATAATCGAAGTGTCACGTGAGCGTCTGGTTGAAAACACATACAGGACGAATTTGCGGATTGCTATCACCTGTGCATACATCTACTGGAGATGTGGTCCGAAAAAGACCTCTTGGAGTAACGTGCACAGCGCACAGCACCTACAAGACAAGTTCACGGCTCAAAATCATTGTTGACCAAGACCACTATGTACTGAGCCTGAGGGGACATCGCAGCTTTTAGATCGCAGTCCGTAACACAAGAACGAGGTCACATATCCTCCACTTTTGGCTCCGGCTCCGCGATCGCAAAGTACCGCCTTTCAAGACCTTCCCTCGTTGGCTCAGGCTCCGCAATCGCAAAGTACCGCCTTTCGAGACCTTCCCTGGTTGGCTCCGGCTCCGCAATGGCGAAGTACCGCGGGCCGAGATTTCTCGCTGGGATACCCATGTCAGTCGCGCGGAAGATTATCTCGCTGATGGAAAACACTGACGGAAAATCTGCATGTTCCCTCCTCGATTCACCAGCGAACGCACTTCGGACCACCCTATTAGCCCGAGATAATCAGAAACTGCTGCTGGCTTTGGCCTTGGACGTACCAGTTGGAATGGCGCCCGTTGGGGCAAGAAAGCAAGCCAATAACAGCACAGACGTGATTTGGACCATCTCTGGAGAGGGGTGCTGCCGTCTACCGCAGCTGCTCCAGTATATATGCGCTTACTTAGCAGCCGGCCCATCTTGATCTCAGCATTACGCATATTACGCAACGATAATAATGCAAGTTCTGATGGACTATCAGTGTAAGTGATCCAGCGCCACATGATATTTGTCACAGAACTATTGCACAAGGGCGCCACCCGTAAGGCCTACAGATAGAAAGATCATGCAGGATCAGCACGAACAGCTTCCGAAAGGCCAGCTTGCCAAAACGGCTGTAGAACGGCGCCGCTCCCAAGGACTCCATCCAAGTATCGCACACGATTAGCACGAATAGATTCCGATGACACAGCTCAAGGAACCGTCGCTCCGGATCCGGGACCTGTATGGACAAAATGGGATCGCTGTTCGCCTATGAAGTTGAGAAATTAACTCGAAGGGGGTCATTGGCAACTATACTCAAAGCGGAAATTGATTGGGCACGGTTTATGCAACATAGGTCAGCTTCCAAGGACCAGGATCGTTTAATTTTCTATTGTGAGCAAGTTCATGCACATAACTTTTTGTGGGATCAAGCTCACACGCAATATTGCGATCATTTTGGCATTAGGATCGTTTATTTTTTTTATCGTGAGCAAGTTCATGGAATGTGATATCATTTGGCAGGTACAGGGGCCTGTTCGACTCGGATGATCGAGAGAATTTATGTGTTCAATTTTTCCCTTACCCCCTTTTTTCCCCCCATCCGCTTCCGCCCCTCCTATATTTAGCCTCGATTTCCAGTCTAGATTTTCCCGGCGCGGGATTTATTATGGTTCTTCGCAGAGAATAGGTATGGAGGCGCGCCGAGTATTACCCGCTCGCACGCGTGCATTGCTCCAACGAACTAGCAAACCATGCTAATTGCTTCCGCGGTTTTAGCAACTGGCGCGCCAAAAGTTCCGATGGACCTCGCGCGAATAGGAAATCAAATCGACAACTGCATTGCATCATGCGAGATGCTAGATACTCGACACCGAGACTAAAGTACGAGAATTAAAGAACGAGACGAAGAACCGGAGAGCCAGCCGCCGGGCCTCTCGGCGCGCGAATGCAATGTCGCTCTCGTGTTCGCGCACGTCCCACTCCCGCACATCTCAGCGAAGGCACAGCAAGCCGCACCCCAACCTAAAAGAGACGACCTCCCCAAAGGCACATTTTGCACAGCGCGCGCGCGCGCGGATTGGACGCTGGAGGCGAGACGAACGGCGGACAGCGCCACCCCCTTGCGCAAATTCATTGCGCACAGAAAGATTTGACCGCAAAGATAGCAGATGGGCGAAGAACGACAAGCACACAGGCAAAGAAGCTCGGCGGGGCAGCACGCCATCCCGGGCGACGAGGATATAGTCAGGACTGAGCAAAGGGAGAAAGCGTAGCGCACATGATCGCGACCGATCGCGCGGAAGAGGTAATACGGGCACGCACACACGGCGCCTCGACAGGAGCGACGCGCTGCCTGCTGCTCGCGGCCGAAAGGGTGGTGGAGCTCACCGGTAGCGCAAGCATCTAGAGCGCGTTCGACCCAGCCCTTCCTCAGGCTTGGAGCGAAGCAAGGCACACGAGCGGCATCCTGCACGTTCAGCGGCGCAAAACGCCCTGCGCCGGCCGCAGGTTTGTCGCGTGAGATCCTCGTGCTCGTCGTGGGATATGTCGGTAGATCTCTGCCGCTAGCGGACGTGGGGACAAGGAAAGCTCCTACCCATCGGGAGCACGCAGTAGGCACGGGGAGAGGGAAGGCGCACAGTGAACAGCCCAGAAGGTGCCTCCGGGCGGCCGATAGTCACCGGCGCCGGAAAAGAGACAGTGAAGAGGGAGAACATGACTCACCGATAGAGACGAGTGGATCCGCGGTAATCTTGTTATGTGGCGTACTACGCTGCTTACCCGGAGGACGGCGGGGGTCGGCCGCGAGGGCCTGCGCGACCTCGTGCTCGTCGTCGGCCTCGTCGAGGGCGGGGTGGCCGAGGCCCTCGAGCATGCGGATGACCTTGCGGGAGATGTCCTTGACGCCCGCGTCGCGCGACAGCGAGGCGGACGCGCGCCGGCGGGGCAAGGGCGGCGGAGGCGGACACTGACTTGACGACGGCATGGGTGGGCCGTGTTTGGCTTCAAGTTTGTCACGGTCTCATTCGGAAGGGCTCTGCCGCTTTGTATTTCGCATGCTTTAACGTTGACGGCTTCGACTAGGCCTAGGATGCTCAATTTCGAAGGCTAGGAGTGCATCTGCTAGAGTTGAAAATCTTTTGGTTGATCTTCTGCAGGTTCCCCGTTCAATACGGGTGTCATCATCAGCGACAGAACAGGATGTTCGGGTCACGTGCGTCACTGACGCGACGCGACGCGATCAGCCAAGCAGCAGCAAGCAAAAATCCAAAGCTTTACGTCAAAACAAGGAGATATAGGTACGAATATATAATTCAGGCCACACAAAGACATTTGGCAACAGAGGGGGATAGTCTCCCACGCCATCGGTCATAGGTTGAAGCTAAGGGCGCCGCCTTACATCTTGTTTCAGCTTTCAACTTTTCGCCACGGTAACCGGGGGTAAGCCACGAGAAGTGTTGCTCCAACATGGCCGGAGTTGCATAAAACCATTAACACAAATATATGGCACATATAGTGTGCAAAAAATATTAGCTGACATCTCTTAACTGTAAACAGGGTTTTTGCTTGCAACTTTCGTCAAATTCATGAAACTGCTGACAAGTTGGGACTTGGGAACAACTTTGCCTGAGCTTTACTACATGTGGTTCTCCACTACATTCAGTCCTCCGTACAGCTTTGAGGACTTCACATCGAGCTGGATTTGCGTAAAATGATGCCACTGATTGGAACATTGATGCACCATCTTTGCCGAAATCCCCAAACGGAAACCATGCCGTTCTTGCGCTATAACGAATGTAAGAGGTCCTTAATACTACTGAAACACTAAATCTCACTTTATTTCACCTGCAAATTCAAAGGACCAAGAGATTTAACACAGCCAAAGTGACAGGGACAGTGTGAACTAATTGGGAGTCCTCAAGGATCCTTTGGACAGGAACAGACCCTAAACATGGAG